CCCGGCCGCACGGCACGTGCCAAGCGAGGCGGGCTGGGGGCGGCGGGAGGCGTCACTCGCTGGCCGCAAAGCGCACAGCTCTGCCCGGCCCCTGCGGCGCCGCTGCCGAGGGCAATGGACGCGCGTGTGGCAGCGGGGCCCCGCGGTCCCGGGCGAGGCCAGACGTGTTCGGGGAAGGGGAGCGCATAGCTTCGGTGCCGGGCCCGCCCCAGCACCCTCTGTGACAGGAGGCATGTGCATGGGCGCGGTCCTTCCTGCACCTGCGAACCAGCCCTGCCGACCCGCCCCCGCGCCAGGCCGCGCAGCAACCGGGGCAGGTGTCACAACGTGTGGCCGAGGCGCACTTCCCGCTGGGGTTTGTGCGTAGGACGTTGCCCCACGCTCCGCCCCGGCGTCCCAGGGCTGGGCCATCACATCCGTAGGACGAGCCGGAGGGACGGGGCCAGCCGGGGTCCCTGATCCCTGAGCATCCTGCAATCGCGGGGGTTAGAGCAGGGACAGACCCGCTACGTGCCCTGCACGGCCTGGCTGCCTCGTCCCTCTTGGTATTTGCTAGTGCTTCCGTTTCACTCGGCCGTCACAAAGGGCTCTGTCTACCAGGTCCAGGGCTTTCTCCCATTGTGGGGGCAGTATGGGAAAGGAGCGTGGTTGACCCGAAATAGGCAGATGTAGCTGGATGCAGCAATTACTCCTGTGTTTTCATCTGAAAGAGCAGAGTCTGGAGCTTTTCACTACAATCGATCTATGGGGGATGCGTGTGTGTTGCAGCTTGGCAAAGCCAAATTATCTAGACACAATTGCGAAGCTACTCATTGGTCCTTCGTGTCTTCCAAATACGTACAGACGTTTGTCATGGCAGCAAGGATTGAAATTTGCCATCATTCTTCTTCCTTCCCTTCCTTCTTCCTGAAAAATGCACCGGATGAGACACTTTTTATATTGTGAAATCGCGATGACCAGTTATTCACAGGCTTTCTTTGGCTGACAATATCCAGGCACTCTCAGAAATTTTCTGAGGTCACTTAAAGAAAATAAATAGGGCCGAAATCCAGTATGTCCCTTTTGAAAGGATCCCGAAAAGTAAATTGTGGGATCGTTTTGAACACTCACATGTCCTCAGACCTTGTGTTAGGACTTGTCGGAAAGGGCCTTGCGGAGATTTCCCTTCGCAAATATTTAAAAGACAAACAACCCTCCCAAACAAAACACCCCCTTCTCCCCCCTCACCACGGCCCTGCAAAATGATACACTCAAATTCTGCACCTGGAACACTGAAAGCAAAACCTCACTGAAAGCTCATCGGGTAGGAAGCACCGGATACAAGCGTGTTTGTTCCTGCATGCGAGACGTCTACGACACGGGCAGGACGAGACATTTTCTGAGCAGGGGCCACTGGCCCCCTCCTATGGGGTTTACTACGTTTGATGTTTAGACCAAATCCTTGACCAAAATAAAGGAAAAGGAGCTGACCCTTCATTTGGCAGAAACCGTGTGCAGAGGGAGAAAAGGCGAAACCAAGCAAGGCAGGGCAATTCACGCGGTGTCCCTGCGGAAAGGCCAAGGCTCCCCAAGGGAAAAGAGAAAAACACAAGGTGCCGAGGAAATCTAGCCTGAGACACATGCACAGCCCTACTGGGCAGAGAAAGGCTTTCATCTGAACACCGCCAAGCGCTTTCCAGAGGGCTCAGTCCCGGGATCTCCGTGTACGCAGGGAGGGCTGGAGGCCAGGTGAGGGGCAGGGCAGAGCAGAAGCCTCCTGGCCTCCCGGCCAGCGCCCGCCCGGGGCCAAGGCTGCCTCCGAAACGCTGTCAGTGGAGGGGGCCAGCCAGATTAGCCGCTGCCCTGGAGACCGGCGCAATCTGAGCTCCAAACAGCTGCCCTGCTGAAGGGGCCAAGGGCTGGAGAGGGGGTGTGGATCCTGGCCTCGGGGGAGACTTGCAGCTGACCCCAGTGTATCACCCCACGGCGGAGCGACATGTCTCCCTGCGGGGGCGGAGGGAGGCTGCCCCCGTGGGGCCCGAGGCAGCTGGCCTGGCTGCTACCGCGGTGGCGAAAGGAGCGAGCAAGCGAAGTCCCCCGCGCCCCGCTCTCCTCGGTTCCGGAGCCCCCTCGGGCCTTGGCTCGCCCGGGCCTCGGCTCCCGCCGGCGGCCGCGGCACCCCTCTCCCTCCTCCCGGGGCCCTGGCCCACGTCCGGGGTGCCAGGCCGCGCCCCCGTCCGGGACAGCACCGCGGAGAGGCGCCGGGCAGCCCCGCGGACCCCGGCTCCGCGTGTCGCAGCGTCTCCAGCCCGGCCGGCAGCTCCCGCTGCCCAGCGCTTCCCGCCTTCCCCCGCCCCTGCCGTCTGCCTAGTCTCTGCCACGCCTGAGCCCTTCTCCCGCGGTCCGGCCCAGGGCTGGCGGCAGCGCGGAGGGAGGTGGGCTGCACCCGAGGCCGAGGCCAGTGCGGGGGTGTCCACGGAGGAAAGGCCTCTGCTCCGCCCTGCCGGCAACCTCCCCCCGCCTCCCTAATCGCAACTATTCAAACAAAAAGCAAAAGAAACCCGGTCAGTCCCAGAGCCGCGGGGGCCGCTTCCTTCGTGCTCTGGAATAAAAGCCCCGCACGTAGAAAGGGCCGCGCCCGAGCGTCCGCGTCGGCTTCTCTGCTGCGCCCCTCGGCCTGAGACCTCAGGGCCGGATTGGCGCCCTGCAGCTTTCACCCCGGGGAGAAAAGTCTAAGGACAGGATGAGAAACGTCCTTTGAACAGCTGCAGCGCCAGGGTTGACACCACCCCC